ATAGCCAGAAATTCACCTCCTTCTGGACCCACCTCCGTCTTCCAGCAGCTGTCTACCTTGCTAGACCTGTGTGGCTTTCCCTGGCCCAGTTTAAAGTTTTCAAAGCAGTGTTCTTAGGGAGAGCCACGCCAAGCCCAAAACCGTGATTCCTTGACCAAGCGCCCCACTTGCGCCCTCCCAGAGTTCCTGATCTTCTTTTGAGTCCCGCCCCAGACCAAGGGCTCTATACATATGATCTGCTCAAAATAAGTTCAGCTCTGCCACAGTTGAAGAAACAAGTTCAGAAAGGCCCCGTGGCTGTCCACATGGCCCAGCTGCTGCTCCGAGTGTCTGTGCCCTTGCCTCTCCCAGCTTATCTGGTTTTTTTGTTTTGTTTTGTTCAGGCAAGGTCTCACTATGCAGTTCAGGCTGGTTTTGAACTCACTATGTAGCCCAGGCTGGCCTCAAACTCACAGGGATCCTCCTGGCTCAGCCTCCTGAGCTCTGGGATTATAGGCAGGCGCTACCACACCCAGGTTGCTTATTTATTTATTTATTTGTTTGTTTATTTATTTTGGTACTGGGGATGAACTCCGGACCTTGCAAGCTTGTGAGGCAGGGCCCTGCCGGAACCACTAAGCTAGATCCCCCACCCTTTTATTTTTTTAATGGTTGAGGATTGATTTTTCCCGCCCCAGACCAAGGGCTCTATACATATGATCTGCTCAAAATAAGTTCAGCTCTGCCACAGTTGAAGAAACAAGTTCAGAAAGGCCCCGTGGCTGTCCACATGGCCCAGCTGCTGCTCCGAGTGTCTGTGCCCTTGCCTCTCCCAGCTTATCTGGTTTTTTTGTTTTGTTTTGTTCAGGCAAGGTCTCACTATGCAGTTCAGGCTGGTTTTGAACTCACTATGTAGCCCAGGCTGGCCTCAAACTCACAGGGATCCTCCTGGCTCAGCCTCCTGAGCTCTGGGATTATAGGCAGGCGCTACCACACCCAGGTTGCTTATTTATTTATTTATTTGTTTGTTTATTTATTTTGGTACTGGGGATGAACTCCGGACCTTGCAAGCTTGTGAGGCAGGGCCCTGCCGGAACCACTAAGCTAGATCCCCCACCCTTTTATTTTTTTAATGGTGCTGAGGATTGAATCCCCCCTGAGCTGCAGTTGTAGCCCTCTGTTTTTCTTTTTTCTTCTTTTTTTGTACCTAGGATTGAACACAGGACCTTGTGCTTACAAGGCAGGCGTGGCACCACTGGGCCAAATCCCCGGCCCTGTAGCCCTGTTTTGAGACAGGATCTTGCTAAGCCATTAAATTGACAAGGCTGGGCTTGAACTTGCTACCCTCTGCCTCAGCCACCCAGAGAGTGCTGGGATTACAGGCCTGTGATACCACACCCAGCCCTTACCTTTTTTATTCATTCACTGCAACTTCCTAGGGCTCTGGGATTTAGGATTTAAGGGAGCAGCGCCGTAGGAAGAGCGTAGCCCAGCATCCGGTTGACCAGGCCTAGCACTGACCCCTGGTCCCCGGAAGGATGGGTTTTTGATACACTCACAGGGGTTCTCTGGGCAATGAAGAGGGAATTAAATGGGACAGGCAGAGCCTAGTTCCAGGCCTGCAGGGTCAAAAGATATTTCCTGATTTCCCTGATAGTAGGTCTAAGCAAGCAGGTGTGGCCAGGGCAGGCCTGCCCAGATTGAACAGTGAAAAACAGAGAAGAAAAAACCTAGGTAACATGCCAGGGGTGGGAGAGGGTTACAGAAGAAAATAAAACAGGGTAGGGGCTAGAATGAGAGATGGGGGTGCCACTTAATAGAGCCGACACTCTTGGCTATTGGAAGGTGAGTGATTTGGGGCAAAGTTCAGGGAAGTTTGTAAAATTTGATAAAAATTGGTTGGGGTGTAGCCAGTAACAGAGCATTGCTTTGCATGTACGAAGCCCTAGGTTCAATCCCAGCAGGCCCCCTGAAAAAAGGAATAGCACAGAGAGCACTATCATTATTGTTTTGTTTTGTTTTTGGTACCAGGGATCAAACTCAGGACCTTGAGCTTACAAGGCAGGCAGCAGCACCACTGGGCTAAATCCCTGGCCCATTATTGTTTTTAATTTGTAGTTTTATTGGGATGAGAATCCTTGTCTTTAATTTTTTTTTTTTTTTTTTTGAGACAGAGTCTCACTATGTAGTGGAAACTGACCTGGAACTCACTATGTAGCCCAGGCTGGTCCCGAACTCACAGGGATCTTCCTGCCTCAGCCTCCCGAGTGCTGGGATTACAGGCGTGAGCCACCATGCCCGACGAAGGCTACAGGGTTTTTTTTTTTTTTTTTTTTTTTTTTTGGTACCAGGTCCTTTTTTTGGTATCAGGTCCTTGTGCTTGCGATGCAGGTGCCAGAACCACTGAGCTAAATCCCGGGCCCTCAGAAACAGTTCTTGAATGGGTGGCTATTCTCAAAGATCTTTCTGGGTTATGGACTCACTAGGGATCTGGTGATTTGAAAGACTGTGAAGAAGAGATATTGGTATAGTTATGTTCCTGACAGCATTATTCAAAAGCACTAAAAAGATAGAAACAACTCAGATGTCCACCAACAGGTGAGTAGATAAACTACGGAATATGATTCAGCCTTAAAAAGGAAATTCTGACACATGCTACCACCGGAGAGAAACTTAAGGATACCATGCTCAGTGAAATAAGCCAGTGATAAAAAGAAAGTGTGGTATGAGTTCACTCATCTGATACACACAGTTGAATTCACAGACTTCAGAGAGTAGTGAGTCCGGCGGGGCTTATAGTTCAGTGGTAAAGCATGTTCAGGGCCCTCTGTTCAATCTATAGCAACAGAAAGAAAAAGTAAAAAGAGAATGTCGTTTTTTTTTTTGGTACCGGGGACCAGACTCAGGTCCTTGGGCTTGCAAGGTAGGCGGTGGAACCACTGAGCTAAATCCCCCGCCCTTAGAATGTCTTTTTGGTTCCTCACATCAAACAACACTGTCAGAGGAAGGACACTGCCTCCCCTGGTGTACCAGAAATGACTACAAGCACCCAGGGGCAGACTGATTGAAGCCCCAGATGGAATTCCATCTTAGAAGCTGGGTAGGGGACCAGGCATTATTTAGTGGATACACTTTCGATTTGCGAGGTGAAAACAGAGTTCTGGAGATCCGTGGCGTAGTGACGTGAGCAATACTTAACATCACCCAACGGCATACCTTAAAAGGGCTTTGGGGCTGAGGATGTAGCTCGGAGGTAGAGTACTTGCCTGGCATTTGGAGAGGCCCTGGGTTTCAGCATCGCAAAACAAAGTTGCCACACTGATTTTTGCAAACGCTTCTGTTCATGTTAGACAAGGGCTCTATCACTGAGCTATACCCCTAGCCTCCAATGGTGACGTTTTATTTATTTATTTTTGGTTTTTTGAGACAAGGTCTCACTATGTAGTTGAGACTGACCTGAAACTCACTGTGTAGCCTGGGCTGGACTCAAACTCACAGGGATCCTCCTGCCTCTGCCTCCCGAGTCCTAGGATTGCAGGCATGCGCCACCACAACCAGGCTTAAAGTTACATTTTGTATTTCACAGGGTTTTCGTTTTTTTTTTTGGAGGGGATACTGGGGATTGGACCCAGGGGCTTCACTTATCTACATCCTTGGCCTTTTTTGTTGTTGTTGTGTTTTGGGTTTTCTTGGTACCGGGATTGAACTTGGGCCCTTGCACTTGAAAGGCAGGCAGCGGAACCACTGAGCTCAATCTCCAGCCCTCCGGCCTTTTTTTTATTTTGAGGCAATGTCTCACTAAGTCACTAAACTGCCCCTGCTGAGGAAATCCTGGGTGATTCTCCTGCCTCAGACTCCCAGAGTGGAATTAGTGGCCGGCACCACCATGCAAAGCATGTATTTTACACTTTTTAAAAACAATTGTGAAAGGTATTACTCTCAGCTGCGCTCCTGGCCTAAAAGGAGGAGCCAGGTGGTAGCTGCCCTCAGGATTGGAGATGAAGTCCCGAAGCCTGAGCTGGTCTAAATTTCTTCCCCAGGCCAGTCACAGAGCCTGTCTGAGCCAGTTTTCTTGCCAGTCGTTGTGAGCCTGAGAGGGGACAATAGTGGCTCTCAATCCACAGGGACCGAGGTCAGTTTCTCCCCTTGCTGAGGTCTAAAGCCTTCAGCTCACAAATAGTAAGTAGTGTGCACGCCCAGGCTCCCCGGGGAGTCCGTGTGTTGTGGTTAAGGCAGCCCACCGTGTGCCAGGTTGGGGCAGCATTTGGGCCTACCCTTTCCTATTCCCGGCTTCCGTCCCAGTTTACTGGCCTGCCATGAAACCCGCTGCTAGGGACAATCCTTCTGCACACCCCCACCCCCAGGCCTCCCTGACATTTATGGCCACACCGCAGAAGACATTCTGCATTCTGGGGGAACCGTCTGAACCTCAGTAGGGTCTTCTGGTTTTGTTTTGTATTTTCATTTTAATTTGGTTTGGTTTTTGGAGGTAGGGTCTTGCTATGTAGTTCAGGCTGGTTTTGAACTCACTATATAGCATAAACTGACCTCAAACTGACAACAATCCTCCTGCCTCAGCCTCCTAAGTGCTGGGATCGCAGGCATGCGACACCTGCTCTTGTAAAACTGGAGCAATTAAGGAAATATCCTCCCAAGGAGATTCCTCACAAAGCATCTTGGGAAAAGGGACAGCTACCAGCAACACGGCCTCAACACAGGGACCTCTTTAGGGTAGATTTGACCTGGCAGAGACTTTGAGGCCTTGCTTTGCAGCTCTGGCTCTTGGCTGGACACTCTGTGGCCAGAGCAGTCCCCACCCTCAAGAGTAAGCATATACCCTCTCTATCCAGCCAGGAAAACATTTCTATAACCTCTGAGGATCTGCTGGGCAGGAGACAGGGAAGAAGTGAGCTTATGTTTCCCTTAGTTGGGCTTTAACTTCTAAAATAGTCTTTTCCTTTTTTCTTTCTTTTTTTTTTTTTGTATGAACATTTTAATGAAGGGTTGAACATAAAATAGAAAAATAGCATTCTCATTGATTTTTTTTAAGAGGCAGACTTTTCTTGAGATTTTCATACAAGGTAATGCATAAAGAATGTTATCCTTTTAAAGAAAATACATATTCACCCCTGGAAAAGGCACTTCTCTAAATAAGTATCATAGTTATCCTTGACTGAAACTCTCAGACATTGGCCTGTTTCGTTTTCTTTTGGAAACAACTCAACTCAGATTCAATCCCTGCTGCTTTCTGAGGATGGGAACACACCTGGCACGCCATCACCTGAACACAGTGGTGCCTGGAGCAAATGTTGCCTAAGGAGGTGGTCAGGAGGGATGCTGTATGAGGGTGTACGTGCTTGCTTCTCCTTCCGAGGGTGTGGGCGGCCAGAGGCTACCGCTAGTGCAGCAAGCCTCGCTCACTCTCTGTGGCCAGATAAGTCCTCCAGCAGGTGGGCCGGGATCAGGCCTCTGTGGCCACCCGATTCACCATAATAGAATCCCTTATCATCCACAGGCCCGTAGACCGTGACTACATCCCCAGCCCTCGGAGCCAGTTTTCCCTTCGCCGGGCCCCCTGCTTCCCTATCTCCGGGATCATAGTCCAGAGCCACCATCATGGTCTTTGGGGTCCGCAGCGTGGGTCTCCTGGAGTTCCTTTGGGGCCTGAAGAAGGAATCCTGGGGCCGACTGGGCCCCTCGGAGTCCTCAAGTTGGCCCACGGAGGGCAGGTGCCCTTGTGTCAGTGTGTGCCACCGCTTGTCAGGCTGTTCTGTGCCCACCTCCACCTCAGCCACCAGGTGCCCAGGGATGTTGCCCACTTGTCCACTGCACTCGCCATGGTAGAAGCCATGGGGGTCCCGAGAGCCCCATACTCTCAGAAACTGCCCTCTCTGGAAGGTTAGCGCCTCCTCTGCAGCTTCAGGGTTGGCAGACCTTGCGAGGGGGTTATAATCAAAGAGGGCCATGCGTACCCTGGCTGGAGTGTTGGCCTCTGGACCCAGCTGTGGGGGGCCACCCCACGACATCTTAATGATTCTGCTGGATGGAGCTGGACCTAGCACCGCGGTGGGCTCAGGGAGCTGGCACTCTTGCTCGACCGCCAGAGCCTGTCCTTGTCTGTACGGGGGCCTGAGCTTCTCTCTCTGCTCTTGCTTCTCTGTGTACCTAGGATCCAAGCACACCTCCTCCTCCAATACGCTGCAGGAGTTGGCTGCATACTGATGGCTGGTGCCCTGCTGGGAAGGTGTGGACGCTTGGGCATCTTGCTTTTGCCTAAGGGCCTTCTCATGGGCAGCCTGCTCCTGACACGGCTCTTTCCTGAGCCCACACTTAGGGGACAGACGGTTGAATCCTGGAGATGAGCCTCTGCTGGTGCTCCTGTGCCCATAGTGGTTTTCCTCCATCACGGACTGGCCACTGGGCGGAAGTGGCCCGTGGTTCTGGGGACACTGATGAAAGGGCAGGTCCTTTCGACAGCCCTTCTGGGCCCCTGAGGGCCCGTGGGCTTGCTTGCCGGCTTCTTCTGGGCTCAGGTTGGACAAAGCGGGGTGTACCCGCAGGGGTTCTTCAAACGGTACTTCTGGAAACTTGGCCTGAGGTTCCCCACGGCTCCCAGGCGCGAGAGGGCCCACCTGGGTACTCAAAGAAGCCAGCGCCATCTTCTGACGGTAGATGGGGAAGGCGACTCCGGCGGAGGATGGGTCACCACAGGTGCTGCTGAAGGGAGGGGTCTGTGGTGAAGAGTGGTCCGTAAAGCAGTCCTCAGGGATCTGAGCTGGCACTGAATCCAGAGACTCACCGCACAGTGACATGGTTCTCACTGAGACCTTCTGGCACGTCCGGGGTACCTGTAGCTGGGAAAATTCCAACAGAATGCTCCCAGCAGTGGCATCAGTGACCTCTGCGACCTTGAGCCCATCTGCATACACAGCGTAGCCAGTGACTCGCACTCCATTGGAGGATCCAGCTGAGTCAATGGTCACAGGGATCCAGCTGACCACCAGGAAGCCTGCCAAAGTGTGGTGCTCCACCAGCACGTCCAGCGGAGGGTCTGGGGGTCCTGCTAGGGGTGTGCTGAAGGTGATGGTGGAGGACATTGTTTCCCGGGGCTCCTGCTCCAAGTCCCGAGGCAGCCCCACCTCTACCTCCACCCGAGCCTGGTACTGTGTGCCAGGATGTAGGCCTTGAAAGGTGTAGCAGCTCCCACCTGAGGGGGTCAGGGCATGTTCCTGGTCATCAAGGTACACCACGTGGGGGTGTCTGCTACTGCCACAGACCCAGGCGATTTCTGCAGATGTGGCTGTGACATTCTGCAAGTGTAGTTGCACGGGACCCACAGAGGGCAATCCTTCGGTCCCCAGAGTGGGTATGGAGAAGCTCTGCTCTCGAATACTCTGCGATGAATCCAGCCAGCAGGTCTCTCTCTGGATCTCTACTGCCTTTTCTGTCTTGGAGCCCTCTGTTCCCATGTGGCGTGGCCCTCTATCCCCTGATCCCCGGGCCTCCCCAAGTAATAAGCTGGCTTCCTTTGAGGCTTTGCTATGCCCAACAGGTAGTATAGTGGGGCCTAAGTGATTTGGGGACTCAAGTGACCTGGGAGACAGGTTGCTTAGGTTGGAGCCGTCTGGAAGCTGTCCTAACACGTTGGAGGGCACCAGCCCCTGCCGGCCATTCGCAAGCTTCCCTTCATAGAAACCATCCTCGTCCAAGTCCCCAGAGACATACACATAGTCCCCGGCTGTGAGGGGTAGCTCACTCTCGGGGTGTTCACTGGGGCCCTCAAATGGATTGTAGCTACGTCTAGCCTGGAAGATCTTGGACTTGGAGGTAGAGGGTGCGTCAGGGCCCCTCACTCCCAGTGAGGGGGCTACACTGTCTGGCTCCAGATCATCCACCTCACTGGCTGTGTCCACGTCCAGGGTAAAGCAAGATGGCACAGTGGCCCACATGGGCTCCACCTCAGAGGAGGAGGTAGATTGGGAGTTGGTTTTCTTAGCTTGATGCCTGGAGTCCAGAGGCTGGCTGGCAGGGAGTCTGTCTGTCACAAGGAGGGAGCTGCCTGGTTCTCCAAGGGCAGCTGGACTCCCCTGTAGGGTGGGACAAACAGGAAGCTGTTCTTTGGTTGCCCGTGATGGTGCACAGTCTTCAGCCTGCGGCTGGAACTTGTGCCTTCCTCTACCTGTGGCTTGGGACACCGGAGCTTGGGTGGCCTCCCGTGGTTGCTGGGGAGGATGGACAGGCTGATCCTGCAATGTCTGCATCTCCTTCCGGGCAGCCTGTAGGTCGCTCAGGGCTTTCTCCAGGTCGTGCTGCAGCTGCTGCTGCCTATTTTGCCCGAGTGCCGCCTGTTGCAGCAGCTGCTCTGCCAGAAGGCCGGCGGCGTCACGCTCCTGGCACGCGCGGCCCAGCTGCCCGCGAACGTCGCTGTTCTCGGCGGCCACCTTTCGCACC